AAAAAAAAAAAAAAAAATTAGAAAGAAAAAAGAAAACCTGGAACTTCATTTCTCACCAAAAAGGTGGGAAAAACAATTCAACAAATTGGTGGAAAACAGGCGTGTGAGCTAGTGGTATGGAAAACAAAAGACCAACATGGAATTTTTGGTGTATGAAACAAAACCTAATTAAAACTCCTACATGAATTTTAATTAAGACTAATCTAAATGTGGAATTATTATTGTACAAGGATTGGAGCTATTATATCTCTATAAACAGAGATTAGATGGAACCTAGACATCCTACACAACAACAGAACAATCATAATATATAATTCCGTAGTGTTCAAATTGGAGAGAGAAATAGAGAGAAAAAATTATTTTCTTCTTTATTTAATTATCTAGTCCAAGAATTAGTTTCTTATGTTGTCCCATAAAATTAAAATGAACAAATATTGTGAAATATTTTAATCAGTACTGAAATGGGAAAAAATCGAAAGCTGATAAAAGGATTAATAACAAAAAATAGAGATTATCATCTGCTAGCTCCTGCAAGTAATCAATTTTTACACCAAATAAAAAATTCAAGCATTCATTTTTTAATACAGAGAGTCATGTGAAGAGGATGACGCCAAAGCCCTCATGGCTAAACAAAAGGCAATTTGATACCTGAGCTGCATCGGATATCAAGAGCAGCACCGAATCACTGCTAGAGACCGTGTCCCCAATATGTCCCTTAGGGTTCCATTTTCTTCGAATAACAACAGCACAAGCCTCAGCAAATGAATGAGAACCCTTTCTTAGACCAATCTGCATGAAGAAGAATATGGAGACAAGCTTCATACAAGGCAAAACTCCCATTATTTCTTGAGAAGGTGACAAAAGTAGAAAAAATAACAAATTACCTTGACCACAATATCAGATTTCGCTTCAGTGAGAGAATCATTTTAAGTTCTGAGCTTGATAAGTTCCTCCTGCATTTCAAGGAAATCCAATTCTTTCTCCTAATCTTCAAATGACAACTTTTCCATGCCAACAGCATTTACAACCTCATCTGGAAGAGAAGAGAGTGTAGCTCCAATGGTTTCCTTTGGC